CCCCTCGAAATGTGGTCTAAAACCACAATTTCGATGAGGTCTCATTATTTACACTTCTCTTACATCTTTAATTGTAGCATAACACATAATCTTTACAAATGATCCATTCAGACAAAAAACATAACTTGTCTCGCCCTAGGGCGAAACTAACGTAACATAATTGGAGTTGACTTATAACACGGAAAATCATGTCTTCTGTTCGAGAAACTAGAAATAAGTTTCTCCAGTAACTGGGAGAAAGAACAAACATCATCAATTAGATGAAGAATTAAGTATTTCCAAATCCTAGTGGAATAAATCCAATAGTTTTCACTTTAAACCCCATTGCGTTAGTAATGTGCATGATAGTACATGCATTTTGAGACCACTCCTAATGCCCGCCTTAACATCATGATTTACATCCTTTAGCATTAGCGGCATAGACGTTGAGAGATTTCTTAGATGAGAAAATGATCTCCACTCTCCACGTGGGATAGTCATCAACATAAGGTTGTCTGTCGAAAAATCAAAGTTTTGCATCATTATTAATGTTCATTGCTGGAAAAAAGGAGGTAACTATATGAACATCATAATAAAACATCATGCAAATTAATTAACCATGCAATGATATGAATTAAAAAACGTACTTAATTGTCATTCTAATCCGTATCACCGTTGGGCAGAAAACGGAAAAATAACCTTATTTCTTCATACATGACACATGAAAAATAATCAACGTTGGTCAGAATATTGTCATGTGCCATTAGGACATTCCCTCATCAAATCTCTAATCAAAATTTCTCGTTAGTTCCATTTTGACTAGAGAAACATAAATCACATAATGACCAGCAATAAACATCGGCTAAATTAATAACCATCATTAACATAAAGCAACAATATAGTGCAATCCATTGTGTCATAGGACACAAGGATTCATAACAAGTTGTAGACATCATGAACATACAATTTTTGACACTTGATGGACAATAAAATAACATTAAACATAAGTGTCAAAATTCTAATTAAAATTCTCAATGACATAAATGAAAATGACATTGGGATTAACGCAAAAGTATAAATGTCATTGTGAGAGAGTAAATATTAAAATTGACATTCAGAGTGAAAAAGACATTACCACTATTGTCAGGGTATCATAAGATTTTCCAAATTATAAAATTTGGACATACATAAGGATTCGCCAAATAATATATAGTATTTGGTAAATTATAACAGTCAAATTGGATAGATTTCTTAATAATGTCATATAATGAATATGGTATTTCATATCACGTAAAAAAAATTAAACAAAACTTCTTTGTTTAGAAATCAACCATAATTTTATCAACACCATTTTGGCCAATCATGCTTATTTTCAATATTGCATATTTTAATTATACAATAGAAAATGAACCGACATAATCTTTAGTATTTGCCAATGAGCACACTAGCCCAACATTATAGATGCATAGTGCAGCGCGGAAAACCACACCACACGACCATTAACATTTTTCGTGAGGTGGCCTTAGGCCATTAGTACCAACCAGACCATTATGAAATGTCATAAGGGTGCATCAATATAAATTTCCAAATAAAATATCCAGAAAATTTACAGTGAATCATGGGAAATTGCTCACAATACACATCATTTTATGCCACTACAATTCCATCAGTAAAATGGCACAAAAAGTGACAATTACCCAAAAAAAACATAAACGATATCACATGACCATCACATTAAAAAAAATACACATAAAATTTCCTACTAGGAAACTTAAACGTGATTTTTAACATACCTTCATGCAATTAAAACATATTGTTGGTGCATAAACATCACAATAACATTACTAAAAAAATGCACCGACAAAGAAAAATGCCTAAAGCATATAATTCGGCCATAATAACCCACGGTTTCCCATTAATAGAACTATATCATTGTTAACATTATTTCACATGATTTGGGGCATATAAATTTTCTCACTCAGAAAATTAGAACATTATAGCATGAATTTCTGGCTGCTTTCATTTTATAACAGTGCAAAAAAACATTTTGAGGATAAGCATAATTAAAAAATGCATTGAATAAAAGGAAAATGCACATAACGTCAATTTCGACCCATACTGCTCATTAAAAGTTCGGGCCAGCAGAGAAAATCAGCAAAAAAAAAACGTTTTTTTTAAACAGTTTGGGCTGTAGCCCACTGGCACATTTGGCTCGTTAAGCGCCCGTGGCCGCCCTGAGCCCCGCATCGATCTCGACCGTCCGGTCGAATCGACGGGCCAGATTAGCCCGAGGCGGAACAAAAAACGGCAATGGGTCAAACCCTAGCCTCATTTCCCCTCTCTCTCGCCGATTTCCTTGGCTCCCACAGGAAAACGACCCCCGCGGCGACCAGAGGCACACCGGCCATGGCGGTGCAGCAGCTCCGTTCGTCGGAGCAGCGTGCCTGGCCTCAAGGCCGCGCGCTCCTTCGCCGAACGGCGCTCGCCGTGTCGAGCACATGGCGAGATTGTGAGCCGATCCCCGCCAGCGATGCGCACAACGCGCTGGACGGCGAGGCGGGGAGGCGAGCGCCGGCGACCGCGACATCAGGAGACAACGGCAACGTGCGCGGCGACTGCCACGCAACGTGCGTCCATAAGGGAGGCGCCGACGGGTGCTTTTGTGCGTCGTCTCGAGGGACGGCGGTGTCCCGCCCATGGCGTACTCGCACGGCGGCGGCCGTGCGGACCCGCAGGCCGGCGTCATCAACATAAGGCCCAGCCCCTCTTTCCTTTAATTTCTTTCGTCGGGGCTGGGGATTTGCGGATTCCTCCTCTATGGTTTGGATTTGGTGATTTTGGAGAACAAAATTTGGGGGTTTTCATTAGTTTGCCAAATCACCTCCTTCTAATTGCTAAAACCTGGGATTGAAACGTGCTGATTGTATCATGGAACTTGATGCGGAAGCTTTGCTCAATTAATTCTGACAGAATAGATTGAACTTTCTGTCTAATTAGCATTAACCCATAGCAATTAGGCCTTACCAAAACCAATTAACCTGAACATATATCATTGACTTAAGAGAGGGCATTAATCTATAGGCATTAACCATCGATCTTAATCCGAAATCATTATGACTTAACCATGATAAACAGAAAATCTGCAGGGATCTAATCTAAGCATAAACATGCTCATGATACCATTGTTAGAAATATACTTTAGACATGACATGAATAGGATCTTGAGCCTAGTATTAGACCACCTAAAACAGATTAACAGAGAGGAGTTCTTGCGATTTCTTACTGAGTACCGAGAGAAACTTGCTGCCTGCTTGTGCACCCCTTGTGTAGCCCATGGCTCCACGTCTCCACCTAAATTAGCGTCTCCAACAGCGAGGAAATTGCCGGAGAAGAAAGGCAGCAGATGGGTAACGCAGCAGCTGGTCGGTGTAGACGTACAGGGTGCCGCCGGCACTGCTATGGAGGTGGCCGGCGGTGGTAGACGGCCTTCGAGTCCCTTTGCCCTTCTTTAGGATCGGTGGTTAGAGAGTTTCTTACTTACCGTGTCAAAAATCCACACTTCCCACAATAAGGGGCTCTCTCTTTATATACCAAGGGCTAGGGAACCGGGACCGAAACCAGAAGTTGTTATTTCGTGCCTCCGATCATAGCACAGACGAAGGGAACTAACTCCCCTTTTTCTCTCGGTCAGTTTTGACCTGAGATCAAAATTCCAACACAGCCGTCTTGAGAACCTTTTGCTGTACAGCAATAGGTTTCACGGCGGAATACCACAGGAGCTCTGCCTGCTGAGTGGTCTCAAGGTACTCAGTCTTGGCCAGAACACTCTGACAGGAAGCATCCCGCCAGGGATCGGGAGCCTTGCAAACCTAAGAACGCTCAATCTGCAGTTCAACAACCTATCTGGGGGGATCCCACGGGAGATAGGTGGTCTTGTCAACCTTGTTGGACTAGGCCTGGGTTATAACCTGCTGGGAGGCTCCATTCCTGCTTCACTTGCAAACCTTTCAGCACTCCAATCAGCATCTCTTCAGCCAAACTAACAGGGAGCCTACCACCTCTGCAAAACCTTTCATCTCTTCTAGTCCTTGAACTAGGAGCGAACAGCATCAAAGGAAGGATCCCTGCTTGGCTGGGCAATCTCTCGTCGCTAGTGTTTCTTAGTCTTCAGCAAAATGGCCTCACAGGGCGCATCCCGGAATCATTAGGCAGCCTTCAGGTGCTCACGAACCTTGATCTTTCGCAAAACAATCTTTCAGGTCACATACCACATTCCCTTGGAAATCTTGGTGCCCTGATGACCCTTCGTCTAGACTATAATAAACTGGAAGGTTCTTTTCCTCCTTCGCTGCTCAACCTTTCCGCTCTTGAAGATATAGGGCTACAAAGCAATCGTCTTAGTGGGTCTTTTCCTCTTGAAATAGGCAATAAGCTTCCAAACATACAAACTTTTGTTGCGGATATCAACCAATTTCATGGAAAAATTCCACCATCCATGTGCAATGCCTCTAGGCTTCAAATTCTGCAAGCAGTGTATAACTCTTTGTGAGGGGAAATTCCCAATTGTCTTGGAGCTCGACAAAACAGGTTGTCGGTTGTGGCCCTTTCAAAAAATAAGCTCAAAGCAACAAATGATGCTGATTGGGGCTTTTTGACCAGCTTGACAAATGATGGAGCCACTAAAAGGTCTGTTGGTGCTTGACCTTTCCAGCAATAATTTGTCCGGTGGCATCCCTCAGTTTCTTGGAAATTTGAAAGGCATTTCTGCTCCGAATCTATCATTCAACAATTTTGAAGGTGAAGTCCCAAAACATGGGGTATTCCTCAATGCGACGGCAATCTCGATCACCGGAAATGATGGCCTGTGTGGTGGTATCTCTCAATAGAAATTGCCACCCTGTTCCAACCACACCATCAAGAAAGCATCCAGGAAACTTGTCGTGATAATCTCCATATGCAGTGCAACTTTATTTATCACATTAGTATCTGCACTGTTCATACTCTATCATAGGAGCAGGAAGATGAAATCAAGCATACAAATATCACTCACCAGTGAGCAATATATGAGGGTTTCTTATGCTGAATTATTCAACGCAACAAATGGTTTTGCTTCCGCCAACCTCATTGGAGTAGGAAGTTTTGGCTCGGTCTACAAGGGAAGTATGCGAAGCAATGACCAACAAGTAGTTGTTGCTGTGAAGGTGCTCAACCTCAAGCGACGTGGTGCTTCTCAAAGTTTCATTGCAGAATGCGAGACACTGAGATGCGCTCGACATCGGAACCTTGTGAAGATACTGACAGTATGCTCTAGTATTGATTTTGAGGGTCATGATTTCAAGGCCCTTGTATATGAATTCCTACCAAACGGTAACTTAGATGAATGGCTACACCAGCAGATCATGGGGGGTGGTGAACAGAAGGCAATAGATCACATTGTGAGGCTAGGCATTGCAATTGATGTGGCATTCTCACTTGAATATCTTCACCAACATAAGTCATTGCCGATTATTCACTGTGATCTTAAGCCAAGCAATGTTCTCCTCGACAGTGACATGGTTGCTCATGTTGGTGATTTTGCGCTTGCAAGATTTGTACTTCAAGACTTGGAGAATTCAAGTGGCTGGGCATCAATGAGAGGAACAATTGGTTACGCCGCTCCAGGTGCAGTTTCCAAATTTTATACTTTTATATATAGTCCAGAAAGCAGGCTCCGGTAAAAATTTAATTAGGACTTCTATTCCCAATTAGACGAGTATATTTCGAAACTAAGTTTTCTAGAATGGAAAAACAACTCAAATATGTATAGTATTGTACACTCAGAAATGTAGTGCATCAGAAATGAACTTTATCTAATTCGTTAAATAGATAGACATATGTAGCTTGTAGAGTCAGTTCTTTTACAACTGCTTTTGTTGATTTCAGAGTATGGAGTTGGCAATCAAGTCACAACCCAAGGTGATGTCTATAGCTATGGCGTATTGCTGCTAGAAATGTTCACTGGAAAAAGACCAACAGACATTGATTTTGGGGATGTTTTTGGCCTTCGCAAGTATGTTCAGATGGCACTGCCAGACAAGATGGCTAATGTCATTGACCAATGGTTATTACCAGAGATGGAAAATGATAAACGAGACAAGTCCAACTCTAACAAGAGCAGAGATCTGAGAACAGCTTGCATCACTTCGATTCTGCGTATTGGAATTTCATGTTCAGAGGAGACACCAACAGATCGCCCGCAAATTGGAGATGCTCTGAAAGAGTTGCTAGCAATAAGAGACAAATTTCACAAGAATCACTCCAGTGAAGGAGCACCATCGAGCAACTGAAGCGTGTGGAGATCAGCAAGTTGTTGCAAGCTGCCATTTCTTATCCATCCCGGCATTTACAGAAGACTCAATAAAAGATTGTAATAATTGGCTGGCATTGTCAAATGTTCCCATTTTCCCAATGTGCTAATTAACACAGCAGTTTCCAGGCTTCCTTATTTAGAGCTCAAAAGGCTTATATATTAGTCACAGCCACTGTTGTCATCGAGTTCCAAAAATGTGTATGCTTTGTGTTAAGTGTGTGGGTATGGCATGAGCAATAAAGTGGAACTACTTCTGCTATGAAATAGACCTACTAGAAATATTTTTGAGAAAATGAGTATGGCAAAAGGAGCGTAGGTAGCACTAGTACCTAGTATCTATTGTTTGCAAAGGATGGTGTAGATCCAGACAAAGTGTAACTCTGCAATAACCAAGCTGGGATGCACAACTTTGGTAACTTGGTATCATCTTCAAACTATTGCCTGCAGAGAGTTTATAATAAAGCATAAACGCGCAAAACTTTGCAAAAATTTATGAAAACCTATCCATCAATGAGTAAACTGGCGACAGGGAAGTCAAAAGATGGGAAGAACTCAAGGGAGCCAAAGTAAAGATGGGTACTGATAATATGGCAAGTCAATGATTAACTATATGACGCAGGACATATGAGAACCCGACCCTCGCGTCGTCTCCCCAGGGGCGAATGCTCGCGCCGCCAGAGGCACTCGCGCTGCTGCTTCCCCATCCGCGCTGCCGCCGGCATAGGTCGCGGTGGCGGCGCGCCCGACGCCGAAGGAACCGGGATCTGGACGCGGCGACGATCTCCTGGTGCGGCTAGGGCGTGGCTGGGAGGGAGTTGCGCGCAGCGGCCAGGGCGGCGCCCCTGGTCGTGCGGCGGTCGCGCTACCCTCCATGACCCGTGGGATCCGAGGTCTCCGGCGATGGTGGGCATGGCGGCGGCCGCGGATCTGGATCCCACCCAGATCCGTCGTCAACTCTTCATGGCGGCGGCGCGATGAGGGCTCCGGTGAGGGGATGGAGGATCTCCGCCGGAGAACCGGTGGCGGCATACGTCTTCATGGTGAAGCTCTGTGCGGTTCCAGCAAGCCGCAAGATCGGGACGACGTGGCTTCCGGTGAAAACCACGCCTAATTGCAGTCTTGGCGGATGATGGCGGCGTCTTTGACGTCGTTTCCTTCTCGAGGCATCGTTGTTGCAGGTCACGTCAACTTGATCGGGATGTTCTAGGAGAAACCCTAGATCTGGGTCTACTGGATCGGATGATGACGGCGCCTTCGGTGTCATTCTCCCTCCCCGGGGCATCGTTTTGGAGCAAGTGCTGGCTGGAGGGGACAAGAGGAGGAGCGGTGTTACATCTACCGCAAGGCCGACGGCGGATCCCGGCGGCATGGCATTGCGGAGGGCGACAGGCGCGTGTGGATGGATATGCAAAGGACGGTGGCGTTGTTTGGCGCCGTGCTGGCGTTGACGACAATCCAGGCAAGGTTTGTGCATCAGTACCTGCTCTGGAGATGGATTAGTGGAAGACGACGGCGGCGGCCTCTGAGAGTGCGTCGGACCAGTGTGTGACCCAGCCCAGCATTGTGGCCTGGCTGGATGAAAGGATCGATATGGTTGACTAGAGGGGGGGGGGTGAATAGGCAACTAACAATTTTTAAGCTTTTCTTTACCAAATTAAACTTTGCAACAAATAGGTTGTCTAGATATGCAACTAAGTGAGCAACCTATATGATGCAATATCAACTAGCACGCAAGCAAGCAAGAGATGTAACAATAAGTAAACTTGCGAAAGTAAAGGCACGAAATAACCAAGAGTGGAGCCGGTGGAGACGAGGATGTGTTACCGGAGTTCCTTCCTTTTAAGGGAAAGTACGTCTCCGTTAGAGCGGTGTGGAGGCACAATGCTCCCCAAGAAGCCACTAGGGCCACCATATTCTCCTCACGCCCTCACACGATGCGAGATGCCGTGATTCCACTATTGGTGCCCTTGAAGGCGGCGACCGAACCTTTACAAGCAAGGTTGGGGCAATCTCCACAACAATCGGAGGCTCCCAACAACAACAACACCACGAAGCTTCACCACAATGGAGTATGGCTTCGAGGTGACCTCAACCGTCTAGGGTGCTCAACACCCAAGAGTAACAAGATCCGCAAGGGATAAGTGGGGGGAATCAAATATCCTTTGGTGGAAGTGTAGATCGGGCCCTTGTCACCCAATCCCGAGCAAATCAACAAGTTTGATCGGCTAGGGAGAGAGATCGGGCGAAAATGGAGCTTGGAGCAACAATGGAGCTTAGAGGTGGAAGAGGTAGTCAACTAGAGGTAGAAGACATCCCTTATATAGTCGTGGAAAAAATCCAACCGTTATCCACATGTTCTGCCCGCGACTCACGGTACTACCGCTCCAAGGAAGCGGTACTACCGCGAGGCAACGCGGTACTACCGTGGACGACCACGGTACTACCGTGGCAACTGCACAGGCCGGAACAAGCCTGACAAAGGAGCAGTACTACCGCTGGCGCGGTACTACCGCTCCCCCTTGCGGTACTACCGCAAGGCAGGAGGGTCACGGCCTGGGAAGGGCGCGGATGAAATAAATTACATCCGTGCCTACTTCCACAGAAACTAGGGTGGTGCAAAAACCCGACGCGGTACTACCGCTTGAGAGGCGCGGTACTACCGTGGTCGGCGTGGATGTAAAAAATTACATCCGCGCCTACTACCGCGACACTGCGGTACTAGGTCGAAGGGGCACGGTACTACAACTCCTAGGGAGCGGTACTACCGTGGGCCCCCGCGGTACTACCGCGCTGGGCGAGCGGTACTACTGTGGGGGGCACGGATGTAAAAAATTACATCCGCCCCTACTACCGCACCGGAGCGGCACTAGGCCAGGGTGCCGCGGTACTACCGCACCGAAGGGGCGGTACTACCATGACACGCCGCGGTACTACCGCAAGTACAGCAGTAGTCGCCAGTTTTCCACACAACCAAGATAATGACGGGTAGCTCCAAAGTGCAAGGAAAGGAGGGACAAGTGTGCGTGTGATTCCACCCTACCTTTCCGACGCGGACCCCCTCTTAATAGTACGGCTCTCCTACGACTCAACTCCACCAAAGAGAAACGTAGAACAACGCAGGCTTCAACAGTCTCCGAGGGGCACCGAATCGTCTTGTGCCTAATGATGAAGTATCTGATGGACTCAAGGCACACGATTAGTCCGCACAAGCATTGTCATCAATCACCAAAACACTTAGGGATAAATATGCCCTTACAATCTCCCCCTTTTTGATGGATTGATGACAACACGGGATTTGCACAAAGATAAGATAATTAGGAGCAGGGGCAAACCCCACCTCTCTAAAATATAGACGGGCTCCCCCTAGATGTGTGCACTTTAGATGAATGCTTTGGACTGCATGGCACACAGACTAGGATCAACACTCCCCCTATATTTTAGAGACCAAGACATGATAATAAGCATAGCAAAGCATGAAGATAGCACAATATAATACCAGCTTGCTAGGATAGATAGAGTGCATATGTCTTACACCATACGAAGTAAGATAGCCAAGGTTCAAACGAGAAAAACAGCAAAGAGTTCAACTGAGAAAGCAGCAAATACACGACACACACGACTCGCAAACTCGCAAATCCCTACACTCTCTCCCCCTTTGGCATCGAGATGCCAAAAAGGCAGAGAGGACACCTACACACACAAGAGGTGGCTCAAGCAGAGAAGTCGTCCCAAGCCTCTTCGTCAGACGCCTCTGCAGCTGGAATGGACTCCTCGACCTCCTCCTCAGAATCAGTCCACCTGTATCCTTGCTTCTCCATCCACTCGGTCTCAGGAGTGATGTGCTCCTCAGACCCGCCAGACACTTCCTCGCCATAGAGCTGTAAGACCTTGTTGTGCCGGCGACGACTCTCCTTGGACTCCACGTGAGCCCTGTACTGCCCCTTGGCCTGCATGCAGAAAAGAGACTTCATCTTATCCTTCAACTTCGTGGCCCATGATGGCCTAGAGACACTCTGAGAGGGCCTAGCAGAACGGTCCTCAGCAACATCCTCGGCGCCAGCATCATCCTCATCAACAGCAGCCCTAGCAGCAAACGCCTCAGCACGAGTAGCGGTGTTGGCCCAGTTGGATTTGATCCGCAGACAAATGGGCTCATGGCGAATCCAGTCTGGAGCCAGGAACTCCTCCTCAGGGTACATCTTCTCCCAAGTCTGCGAAATCAGCAGAAATAGGTAGGGCCCATAAATAGGTACCTTGCGGTTGAACACCGCAAACCGAAGCTCACACCACATGATGTGAGAGACATCAAGTGGCTGAGTCTGAGACGAGCGAGCCTTCTGGCAAATAAGCATCATGTCCACCATATAAGCATGAACCTTGTCTTTGTCACCGATGCGTGGGAACAAGGAGTTGCGGAAGATGCGGTACATGATATCCAGGAAGGGGTTGAGAACCAAAACTTTCTTGCCAGTGGCGAGCGTCTTCTCAACCATGAACGGGGTGAGCTTGTCCTTGTTGGCAGAGTCAGCATTGCCATGAGGGCGAACACCCACTGGAGTGTCAAGCCCATCATCCGAAACCTGAAGCAAATCCATGAACTCCTTCCAGGTAGCAGACAGTTGGCGGCCATTGGTCATCCAGGTCATCCTCCTTTCATCATTGGTGTGAAAAAACACTAAAGCAAAGAACTGACAGATGATCTCAGGGTCATAGTCCAGGTGGAAAGAGATCACATGCTCAATTCCAAACTGCTCCACCAAGTCCAGAGCCTCCCCAAAGTAGTCACGAAACTTGTCCTTCCTCATGTGGTGCATATCAATCCACTTCACCTCCACATAGGTATTCTGCTTGTTCTTGATGACATCCAAGTAGATCTGGGTTTGGGTCTTGTTCTAGAATAGCTCACAGCCTCTGACAGTGGAGCGCGGGTGCACATAGGGGTGAAGTTGCCTGAGACGGACATACTCAGTATGGCCT